ACATGGGACAGACAGCCGGCTTTTAGGCTAGACAAGAAGAGTCCTTCTTGAGTTCTACATGGGGCTTTGAAACCAAAGCCTATAGCAATAAAAAGTGTGAGTATATGTGCAAGATGTGCTTAGGAATCTACAAGGGTGGTAGCAGCAAGCTCTGGTCTAGCAAATGTGGAACTGGAATGTTAATTTGAACTGCTTTTAGTAATATAGCTAAAAGTTAATTTTAAGAACCTTATTTTTCTGCTAGTAAAATATATAGGATTCTAACCATTGCCATCTTAGTAAATATAAAAACTTAAAAGCAATAAACAATCAATATATCATTTTTAGGGGGAGAATAACGCATGTGTTAAACATAGACAAAATGTGAAAGAGTAAACTGTTTTACCTGGAATGATCCAAGAATATCCTTTAGGGGCTCTTCATAAAACTCATCTCTTCCAAAGAACAGCAGCAACTCAAAGAAGCTCCTAGAAAGAATAAGTGAATAATAACTTTCATTGCTTCTTTAATTTTTTTTTTGCCCCAATTTAAAATATTCTCAAGAGATAAAAGCTATGTAATATCAGACATTTGGTTTTAAAATAGCCAGATTTGAATCATTACATTGATCATTTAAGATTCATGTTAGGTTTTCAGTGAAATTTTAATAGAAGAGTCTTCAAAGAAAACACAAAGAAATATACTGAAGTTCTAGAACTATAGAATGAACAATTACATTACTCATGCCTACCAGTGTTCACAATGCAAAAAAAAAAACAAAAACGCAGTGGTACACCAGGTGGCAAAAATGTTGCTACACGTCAAGATGGTTTAAAATGGGTCCAGCTTCACCCTTGTACAATGGGCCCCTTAGAAAATTCAAAATCTAATTTTCTTCAGATGGATATAAAGGATGGATAAAATTAACACAAAGGTATAAGAAAATTAGTCACTGTGAAACTCTCTGCCAACATTTATGTTATAGTAGTATCACCAATTAGGTATCTAATAAACGATACATGGGTTCTCAAACTCTGGGCTTACCTTGATTATCCCACTCGTGACAGACAGCCCAAAAGTCTGTGGTTCCTCCTTTTTAAATAAACTAAATACTTCATGTGTCTTTAATAATTCATAATTTCATACAGGAAGAAATATGACTTATTTCCTAATCATGAGCATGAAAAACTATGAAAATTATTTAGTATTACTTAGCAGTCCTAAAGTAGAGCAAATGACAAATACCACAGAATCCTTAGATTTTAATTCACCTACAAGATCCTCAACTAGGAATACCCAAAGTTGTATTTTTTAATCACTTTTTGCCTTTAATCCAAATTAATCTCTAAGAATGAAGTTTTTAGAATGCAAACACAACTATGAGACTATGTAGTTTTAAAAAAATTATATAAAAGATCCAAGTATTACATAATTAAATACTTCTAAATAACCATGCCCCATAACATATTTTATAAAACTTTAACTACTTAAAGTAGTTAAAAACAATTTTTAAATGTCAACAGACCAAAATATATAAAAGAAGTCAAAGAAAATGATACATAGAGAAAGAATCTTTGTTGATTTCCTTAATTAAAAAGCTTAAACAAGTAATTTTTATTTATTTTTTAAGTAGGATCCACGCTGGGCGTGGAGCCCAATGCAGGGCTTGAACTCATGACCCTGAGATCAAGACCTGAGCTAAGATCAAGAGTCATACACAACCTAGGGCACCTGGGTGGCTCAGTCGTTAGGCTTCTGCTTTCAGCTCAGGTCACAATCCCAGGGTCCTGGGATCGAGTCCCACATTGGGCTCCCTCCTTGGGGGGAAGCCTGCTTCTCCCTCTCCCACTCCTGTTGTTTGTGTTCCTGCTCTATCTCTGTCTCTGTCAAATAAATAAAAAAGAGTCATACACAACCCAATGAGCCACCCAGACACCGCTGAAGAAAAAGTTAACAACCTGGTAAAACACTGGGAGAGGACTACCTCACAGAAAAGAAACACAAGTGAATTTTTTTTCAAATATGAAAAGATGTTCTACTTCACTCAAATAAGTAAAAATTTATGAAGATGAAATACCTTTCCTATCATATTTATGATAGGAATGAAAATGTGGACATATTCTACGATGGCTCTGATATAGAGAAATAAGCTCTGGTATCCTGTTGGAGGTGTGGTAGGAGGTACTACCACTTTTAAAGGGCAACGCAGTAACAGTCATCAGAAAATTTACAATATGCCCATAATCATTTGACTTAGCAATTCCACTTATAAAACTAAATCAGCCAAATATATACATATTAGCTCAAAGACTATATAGGGATATGCATCCACAAATGATTTGTAATAGCAAAAGAATAGAAACATACTAAATGTCTACCACAGGGGACTGGGAAAATTAATTACAATACACCCATACAATGAAATATAATACAAATGTTAATGAGAATATTAGTGAGAATACACTTAAATCTATATGAATAGACAAGGGGAAATTCCAAGATATACTGTTAAGAAAAGATGCAGAAATAGATTAATTACATTACCATTTGTGTGGAGGGAGGGAGGGGAGAGAGGGCCCATGAATACCAATGCATATTGTCAAAGTATCTAGAGGGATATGCAACAAACTGGTAAAAGCAACTGACTCCACATTAAGTAAAATAGAATTTGGGGGCCAGGAATATAAAGAATTGTCATTATTAACCCTTTTGCAATTATTTATTTTCCTATCAATGAATATGAAAAAAGTCCCATCAATGTACCTCGGAATCCTCTCTATCCCTATACCATTAAATCACATCTACATCATCTTTAAATTTCTAATAGACCCTTCCTATGCTATTCCACACTCACTCACTCCTAAGTACGTGTTTAATATAGCTGCCGTTGTTATCATCCTAAAACACAGAATGATTTGACTACTTAACAGACTTTACAAACTGCTGTTTGGATTGTACCATCTAAAAGCAAAGACATTCAGCTGACACACTTATTTTGTATGGATAAAATATTTTTAAAAAACATTTTAGTTTTTTAAAAGATTTTATTTATTTATTTGACAGAGAGAGACACAGCGAGAGAGGGAACACAAGCAGGGGGAGTGGGAGAGGGAGAAGCAGGCTTCCCGCCGAGCAGGGAGCCCGACGCGGGGCTCGATCCCAGGACCCTGGGATCATGACCTGAGCCGAAGGCAGACGCTTAACGACTGAGCCACCCAGGCGCCCCTGGATAAAATATTTTTAAAAAACATTTTAGTTGCTAATATTTAAAAACTTTGCTACTTCAGATTAAATCTAGATTTCTCTGAGCTCCTATAAAACAGGAACCCCTATAACACAGAGTTTGCATCTCTCTGTGACAAAAGCTGAGCAGCTACTGCCTTTAGACAGAACACGAACCTCCTTTCCAATTTGCCAGTCTCCGTCCACTTCTCCAACATACTAGCTGCTTAACTTATTTTTTTACTATCATTCCCTTCCCATTCTATGTAGATATTTGAGATCATTAATCTACAGCAGGAAATACAAATTCCTTATCATGATATAAAAACTTTTATGTCTGATTCAAAACTATATTTACACACATAACTTTTATCAGAAATTTCATGCTCTCCAATCACAGCAAGCTTCTCCCCATTTCCTTAACTCCTATGCTCTTATGGTCTTTGGATCTATTTTGCTTCCTCAAGACCTATTTACACAATTTTACCTAGGAATCTGGTCTCAAATTCCCTTCCTTCTCTCCAAATATATAGCTGATTCTGTACTATCACAGTATTGTACTTTACGTATATATTATAACCTGTTGAAACACAGGCATTAAGTTTGCACTGCACTAAGTTTGCACTAAGTAGAAGGGAAAGGGATTGCATCATTATGTTGAGTAGATAGTACTGACTGCTAGGGCCATTAATTAATTATATTAAAAGAGGGAGAGAGATAGCAAAGGTTTTTAGTAGAAATAAAATGTGCTATTGAGTGTATTTAGATATGAGTATGCAGATGCATGTGACCTTGTACAGAATCCAACAAATATGCAGAATTATATGATGTCTGATTTATGTGAACATGAAAGGGGAGCCAACATTACAAAGACAGAGATCTGTGCAGGCCCCACTATCGGCTACCTCAATAACGAGGCCCAACTCTATGATAATGATAATAAAATGTTAAAACTGCATGCAAAGTAACAGTAAATAAAAACAAATCTAGCTAGCTCTGTCTTAGGGTTTCAGGGAAGTAAACAAGTATTTATGTGGTAGTGAAATCACTAGGGGAAAAATCTAGATTATATATAGAAGTAGAAACTTCAGGTTTCAAACCTGTTGTATTTCCTATTGACTGGTATAAAGGATCAACTAAATGTTTAGAGATCAAGTTACCTAGCCCTCATGGAAGAAAAGTCTATATGGTGGAGGGTGAGTCCAGACTAGAACAAAGTAGGACCCCCAAAATATATGCAGCAGTCTAGAGCAGGGCTGGCAGACTACTATCCACAGGCTAAATCTGACCCAATGACAGCCTCTTGAATAATGCATGATAAGAATAGTTAGCCATATTTAAACTGTTAAAAGAAGAAGAAGAAGAAGAAGAAGAAAAGAAGAAGAAGAAGAAGAAGAAGAAGAAGAAGAAGAAGAAGAAGAAGAAGAAGAAGAAAAGAAAAACCTGGAATAACTTTTCGTGACAGGTAAAAATGATCTGAAATTCAAATATCCTGTCAATAAATGACGTATTGTAAGGAAACAACCATACCCATCCATTTACATATTGGCTATGGCTGCTTGCACACTACAATGACAGAATTGAGTAGTGGTAACAGAAAGCTTATGAGCTAAGCCTTAAATATTACTGTCTGGCCCTTTACTCACCCATGGTCTACAGCCACAGTGTTTGGGTTTCAATCTCAGCTCCACCACTTTCTTCATATGTAACCCTGGGCAAGTCACTTAATAGCTCCATGCCTCAGTTTATTTGTTTATAAAATAGAAACAATAACTATCTTTTGTAAAGCACTTAGAACAATCAATCCCTGGTTGTGCTACTGATGCGCTAATAATAAAAGTACTGTTAATTTTTATTATTAACATTGCCATCAAAGTTCCTCCTTCAATAATCTAAGAGGAAACACGAGATCTTCATAGATTTGTTCTTCTCTGCTGTGTACTGTCAATTTTGTTGAAACATAAGACATCAATTTTTCTTCACTTAAATTATGAAGCTTTTTAAGATATATGACTAAACTCATCAAAGGGTTTCTAAAAATTTATTAGTGTATGTTAATATCAGTTTTTAATTTTGAATATGTTTAATATGTTTAATCTTTGTATAATGTATATTTAATACAATATTTAATATTACCAGTCGATATACTAATCAATTTATAATTAACCTTAGTCCAAGTTATGAGTTAACTAAAGTTCATTTGCATCAATTGAAATATTTATTCAAAATAGAATTACTTAAAATGATTTCTATAAAAACATAAATTATTTATAGTGGGTTATGTACATAATAAAGAGCATGCCTTTGAATTTAAAAAATTATACCATATATAATCATACTCATTTGACTTGCATCAATCAGTATATTGCTATGAGTTATGCAAGTTTAAATAACTCGAGTACTGGTACAGTCCCTATTTATGAAACAAACTATATGCTGCCATCATTATATTTTCTCATCTATTACAAATGGTAATAAAGTACCAGACTTCCTGAAAATAAGACACACAGTAGATTGTTTGGTAGTTATGAGAATTACTATTCTTTTTTTGGGTCTCTGTAGCATATAAGTAATTTTCACCCTGAAATACAAGAATGTGAATTTGTGTATTTATCCACCATAGGAAAATTCCACTGAAGTATGATGCTTAACTATCCAAATGCAAGAAATCCACTTACTAATATAGAATACAATAGAGCAAGACAAAGAAACAGAAACCACAAGCAAGAACTGGAGATACAGGGAACGGAGTGTACATATCTAAGACGTCTAATTATACTTGCACAAAAAAAAAAAGAGAGAGATGAGGTAAAGACAAAAACAAGATAAGACTTTTTCCTAATTGATGAAAAATACCAACCCTCAGATCTAGGAAGCCCAGGAAACCCCATAAGGATTAATAAAAATAAGTCTAAACCTAGCTAATCACAGTAAACTATAAAACATCAAATATAAAAAAAACAATGTATAAACAACCACAAAAAAATAGAAACTGTTTCCAAATAGGGAATTAAATTAGCAAGAAGGATCTAAGATGCAAATCAGTGAATATATAGGCTACAAATTTTGACACCATGAAGAAATAATCTCATTTGGGCTTTAAAATACAGCAAAAATACATGACATAAATAGCATTTAAGTTGGAAGGAGAAATTTTAGCATTATTGTTCCAGTGTCCTTAGACTGGAGGAAGGTAATTTAAAATTTACATATAAATAAAAGTACCTGCATCTTTTTGTGGAGGTAGGAGAATTGATTATCTAGAAAGTTGAGTATCTAGAAAAACCATGAAACAGTAAGAGCAATGAAAAGGAGCAAGCCAGTATTAAAACATTTTGTATATATACAAAATAACTGAACATTTTGTATATATACAACTATAACTGAACCACCATTGTATTGGCATATGAACAAAGAGCCTAATGAAATGAAAAATCCAAAAATTGACCAACTGATGTGAAAAATGCATATATGACAAAAGCAGCATCTCAGATCAGTAGGGAAAAAGTTGACTTCTTTGTATTGGATAGTCAAATGTTATAAGACAAAACTGATTCACTCTAGCTTCCAAACAAGAAAATATTCAAAGTGGATCAAAAACTTAAATATAAAAAATTGGACATTACAAATATCAGAAAAAAATCCCATATAACCTGGTTATAAACAAATCATTTTTCTTTAAATCATTAACTATGATTCAAGATGCAAGAGCAATAGAGGAATACTGACAAATTTTAAATACATTTTAAAATGTCTAAAAATACAAACAACATAAGTAAAATCAAAAGATAAATGAAAAAATAATGGTTTGTAAGGATATGCAAAAAGATGTTCAACTTCACTCACAATAAGAAAAATACAAATTAAGGGGTGCCTGGATGGCTCAGTTGGTTAAGCATCAGACTCTTGGTTTTAGCTCAGCTCATGATCTCAGGGTTGTGAGATGGAGCCCCATGTCAGGCTCTGCTCAGTGTGGAGTCTGCTTGTCCCTCTCCCTCTGTTCCTCCCTCCATTCTTGCTCTCTCAAATAAATAAAAAATCTTAAAAAGAAAAGAAAATACATATTAAAACTACACTGAAGGCTGTCTGGGTGGTACAGTTGGTTGAGCATTCACCTCTTGATTTTGGCTCAGGTCCTGATCTCAGGGTCCTAAGATGGGGCCCTGCATTGGGCTCTGCACTCAGCATGGAGTCTGCTAAGAATTCTCCCTCCCTCCCTCTCTGCCCCTCCTGCTTGTGCTTTCTCTCTAAAATAAATAAATAAATAAATCTTTTTAAAAAAATACACGAAAATGCCATTACTCCTCTGTTAGATTAGCAAAAAAAATCAAAAGTTTGATAACACAAAATTGGTAAAGTTGAATGTAAACAAGGACTAATTTTGTGGGTGAGAATGCAAGATGGTATGAGCTGTTATAAAGAAAACTTTGGACTACTTAGCAAAATTACATATCTATCCATTCTTTGACACAGATTCTAGGAACCCACCCTAAAAATCTACTGGCAAAAACAAAAAAATGCATGCAAAAGGATATTAATCATAGCACTATTTATAATAGGAAAATAATAGAAACAATCCAAATATATATCATTAGCAGATATGATGGAATAAACTGGTACATCTACACAATAGAATACTATGAGGTATAAACAGAGACTTGAACTAAATCTTTATCTCCAAGGAGTACTCTCTAAGATATAATATTAAGTTAAAAAAAAAAAAAGTGTGTATCTGTTTACATAAAAAGGGCATAAGGCTATGGTTATATATCTTAGTGGATCTTGTTTTTCTATCCAACTAACCAACTTTTGTCTTTTTTAATAGGTTTAGACCATTTACATGTAATATAATTTTTGATGTGCTTAGATTAAAACCTATTCTCTCAATAGCTATTTTCTATTCTATCTGGTTCACTATTGCACTTGACCTCTTCTTCCACCTATTTTTGGATTAAGTAACTTCATAATTCCATTTTATCTCCACTTAGTCTTAATATATCCACCTCTGTATTCAATGTTTTTAGTGATTACCCTAGAATTTACAATATATATCTTTAACAAATCCCATTATGCCTTCAGATATCATGCTGCTTTAGGTATAATAATCTTTGTGCTATTCTTGTCATTCATTTTCATTTTAAACATGCTATAAACCAACAGTGCTTCACTACAATTCTTGTTGTAATCTCAGCATTTAGAAAATATGACCCATAGGCTGCCTGCCAGTTTTTGTAAAAGTTTTATTGAGACACAGCTACATGCATTCATTTGTGTATTGTCTATGGCTGCCTTGGTGCTACAAGAGCAGAGTTGAGTAGTTACAACACCCTATAGTCTGCAGGTCTAAAAAAACCTGCCCCTTTAAAACAGTATTTACCAACTTCTGCTTTAGGCAGTTATGTTTCACAGATATTAAAAATAAGAAAATTCTATTTTATATTTATCTTCAGTTTTTATCATTACCAGCTCTCTTCATTTCTTTGGGTAGATTTTCTGTCTGGCATTGTATTAGTATGGTATCTTTTGTAGTTCACGTCTTCTGGAAATGAATAATTTCAGTTTCTGATTCCCTGAAAACATCTTTAATTTCCTTCTGACTGGAGAGTTATTTTTTTTTCTTTCAGCACTTTAAAGATGTTACTTCATTTTGTTTTTTTTTTTAAAGATTTATTTATTTATTTAAGAGAATGAGAGAGAGAGAGAGTACATGAGAGGGGGGAGGGTCAGAGGGAGAAGCAGACTCCCCGCTGAGCAGGGAGCCCGATGTGGGACTCGATCCCGGGACTCCAGGATCATGACCTGAGCCGAAGGCAGTCGCTCAACCAACTGAGCCACCCAGGCGCCCCACTTCATTGTGTTCTGACTGGCATGGTTTCTGAGATGTATTCTGTGTTTCTTTAATCTTCTAAATTAGGTAATGCCTTACTCTGGTGGCCTTTAAGATTTCCTCTCTGATTTTCAGAGTTTGAATGAGATGGATCTAGGTGATCTAGGTGGTAGGTCAGGGTGTATATGTTTGAAATTATCCTGCTTCTGAGTTTCCTGGATCTGTGGTTGGATGTCTTTCTTTATAGTTGGAAAATTCATGGCCATCACTTTAGCAGTATTTCTTCAGCCTCATTTTTCTTCTCCTAGGATTCTAGTAGACATATATTATACAGTTTCATATTTCCCTAAAGCTCTTTTTTAAGTGCTCTGTTTTTTCTTCTCTTTTTCTCTTTTACTTTTAGTCTGGGTAATTTCTATTGACTTACATTCAGGTTCGTTCATTCTTTCCTCAACTGTGTCAACTCTACTGATATGCCCATCAAAGGCATTCATCATCTATTATTGTGTTTTCCATTTCCAGCATTTCCATTTGAATCGTTCTTAAAGTGTCCCATCTCTCTGCTAAAATCCCCAATATTTAACCATGTTATCAACCTTTTCCACTAAAGCATTTATACCTGAATTTAGTTCTTCTAATTGATTTTCTCTTGATAGTGTCAATAACTTTTAGCTGAAAGCTGGATTTCATGATATACAACAGCATAGACTGATGTTAATAGTATTTATACCAGGGGATAGACATGCCTTTTCTTCCATTAGGCCTTTATTATGGAAATTTAAGTAAATCTAGTCATGAATTAAGTGGGTTTGAGTTATGTTTTTGCTATCATGACCTTCAGTATACCACCAGTTTCAAATTCCTTTACTGTTTTTTTTTTTTTTAAAGATTTTTATTTGACAGAGACAGAGAGAGAGAGAGCACAAGCAGGGAGGGAGCAGCAAAGAGGGAGAAGCTGGCTCTCCACTGAGCAGGGAGCCTGACACGGGCTCGATCCCAGGACCCTGGGATCATGACCTGAGCTGAAGGCAGATGCTTAACTGAGCCACCAAGGTGCCCCTCCTCTACTGTTATATTTAGGGTGGAGGCTGGGTTGCCAGATATTTTAGGTTTGGGAGGTCATGAGATCAAGCCCCGAGTCCGGTTCCATGGTTAACAGAGAGTCTGCCTTAGATTCTTTTTCTCCCTCTCCTTCTGCCCCTCCCTCTGCGTGCTCTCTCTCTCTCTCTCTCAAATAAAATAAACCTTAGGGTGCGTGGGTGGCTCAGTTGGTTAAGTGACTGCCTTCAGCTCAGGTCATGATCCCAGGGCCCTGGGATGGAGTCCTGCATCGGGCTCCCTGCTCGACAGGGGGCCTGTTTCTCCCTCTCCCACTGCTTGTGCTCTCCTGTTCTCTCTCTGCCAAATAAATAAAATATTTAAAAATAAATTAATTAATAATAAAATAAATAAATTTTTAAAAATACAAAGACTATTCTTAGCTTGGAAACCATATTAAAAGGGAGGGGCATGGGCAGCATTTGACCCATGGGCCATAGTTTGCCAACTCCTAAGGTAAAGAATAACCATGTTAAGAAAGATATAAACAACCCAAATAAAACTTTTATAGATCAAAAAATGTATCTGAGATGAAAAATACATTACATGGGATTAATATCAAATCAGATACTGCAGAAGATAACATCAGTGAAAACAAGAGAGAGCATTCTTAAAATAAAACACACCAAAAGAAAAAGGGACTGATAAAAATGAACAGAACCATCAGTAAACTGTGGATCCTTTGTGGATTCTCTTCAAGTGTCATCCCTTAAGAAAACATAATGATGCTTTCTAAAATAATTTTTGAGGGGGGCGCCTGGGTGGCTCAGTCCGTTAAGCAACTGCCTTCGGCTCAGGTCATGATCCCAGAGTCCTGGGATCGAGCCCCACGTCAGGCTCCCTGCTCAGTGGATAGCCTGCTTCTCCCTCTCCCTCTGCCTGCCGCTCTGCCTACTTGTGTTCTCTCTCTCTCTGTCAAATAAATAAATAAAATCTTTAAAAAAATAAAATAAAATAATTTTTGAGGGTGTTTGGCTGGCTCAGTCAGTAGAGCATGCATTTCTTGATCTTAGGATTGTGGTGTGAGCCCCATGTTGGGTATAAAGATTACTCAAAAATAAAAATCTTTTTATTTTTATAAAATTTCCCAAATTTGGTTAAACTTACTAAGTCCAAAGACCCAAGAAGCTTAAGATCAAGAAACATAAAGGAAACTACACAAGGCAAATTACAATCAAATTTCTTAAAACCAACCATAAACTTCAAAAGATACCAATAAGAAAATGAAGAGAGGCTAGAGTAGAAGTATTTACTAATCACTTATCTGATACTGAATGTATAAACAGAATATATAAAAAAGTCCTAACTCAATAAGGCAAACAATCCAACTGAAAAATGAGCAGAAGATTTGAATAGACACATTACCAAAGAAGACATGCTCTAGCAAGTAAGTATACAAAAAGATGGTTGCCATCAACAGCACTGAGGAAATGCATATTAAAGCCAAAATGAGATACCACCACATAACTACTAGAATGGCTATTATAAAAAAGACAAATAATATAAAAAGTGTTAGTGATGTGGAGAAACTAAGCCCCCATCCCCAGACAGCTGGTTAGAACTTCAAATGGTATAGTTACTTTGGACAGTTTGGCAGTTCTGTGTTGAACAAATGTTAAACATAACATATAACATCCATTCCTAGGTAGCTACTCAAGAGAAATAATAACATTTGTCCACACAAGACTTAATAATACACAAATGTTCAAAGCCAAAAATTGGAAACAATCCAAATATCCATTAATTGCTGAATGCATAAACAAAATGTACTATATCCATATAATGGAATACTATTCAGCACAAAAAGGAATGAGCTCCTGATAATGATAATATATATATCACATTTTCTTTACCCATTTATCCATCGATGGGAGCTGAGGTTCTTTCCATGTCTTAGCTATTGTAAATAATACTATAATAAACATAGGGGTAACAATATCTTTGCAAGATAATGGTTTTGTTTTCTTTGGATAAATACCCAGAAGACTTATTGGATTATACTTTCAATTCTTTGAGGGTACTCCACACCTTTTTTCATAGTGGCTGCAACAATTTACATTCCCACCAACAGGGCACAAGATTTCCATTTTCTCACATCCTTGCCAACACTTATTATTTCTTGTATTTTTGATACTAGCCATTCTAACAGGTGTGAAGTGGTAACTCACGGTGATTTGATTTGCATTTCCCTGATTATTAGTAATGAGCACCTTTTCATATACCTGTTGGCCAACTGCATATCTTATTTGGGAAAATGTCCATTCAGATCTTCTGACCATTTTTTAATTAAATTGTTTGGGTTTTTAATATTGAGTTATAGGAGTTCTTTATATCTTTGGGATATTAACCACCTCATCAGATGGATGATTTGCAAATATTTTCTCCCATCTAGTAGGCTGCTTTTCATTTTGTTGAGGGTTTCCTTTGTTGTGCATAAGCTTTTTAGTTTGATGTAAGCCCCCTTGTTTATCGTGCTTTTTGATGCCTTTGCTTTGGGTGTCAAATCCAAAAATAGCACTGCCAAGACTAACATCAAGGACCTTATCACCTATGTTTTTTTCTGGGAGTTTTATGGTTTCAAGTCTTAAGTTCAAGTCTTCCACCCATTTTGAGTTGATTTTTGTGTATGGTCTAAGACAGTGGTCTAGTTCCATTCCTTTGCATGTGGCTATCCAGTTTTCCCAGCACCATTTACTAAAGAGATGGTCCATTCCCCAATATATAATCTTTGCTCCTTTGATGTAAATTAACTGACCATATATGCGTGAATTTACTTTTGGGCTCTCTATTCTGTTATATTAATCTATGTGTCTGTTTCTATGCTAATACCATACTGTTTTGATTACTACAGCTTTGTAATATAGTTTGAATTCAGGTCATATGATGCCTCCAGCTTTGTTCTTCCTTCATTACATTCAAATCGTAGGAATTATTTGTTCTATTTCTGTGAAAAATGCCATTGGAGGGCGCCTGGGTGGCTCAGTTGGTTGGGCGACTGCCTTCGGCTCAGGTCATGATCCTGGAGTCCCGGGATCGAGTCCCACATTGGGCTCCCTGCTCAGCGGGGAGTCTGCTTCTCCCTCTGACCCTCTTCCCTCTCGTGCTCTCTATCTCTCATTCTCTCTCAAATAAATAAATAAAATCTTTAAAAAAAAAAATGCCATTGGATTTTTGATAGAGACTGCACCGAATCTGTAGATTGCTTTGGGTGGTACGAACATTTTAACATTAATTCCTCCAATCCATGAGTATGGAGTATCTTTCCATTTATTTGTGTCTTCTTCAATTTCTCTTCTTTAGTGCCACATAGTGTTCAGTGTACAGGTCTTTCACTACCTTGGTGAAATTTATTTCTAGGTATTTTATTCTTTTTGATACAGTTGTAAATAGGACTGTTTTCTTAATTTCTCTGGCAGTTCATTATTAGTACACAGAAATGCAACATTTTTGTACACTGATTTTGCATCTTGCAAATTTATTAACTTTTTTTTTATTAGTTCTAACAGTTTTCTTCATAGTTTCCTATGCATAATATCACATCATCTGCCAACAGAGACAGTTTTACTTCTTTTCTGATTTGGATGACTTTTGTTTTTGCATGACTGCTCTGGCAAAGACTTCCACTACTATGTGAATAAAAGTGGCAAGAATGGGCATCCTCCTCTTAGAGGGAAAACGTTCAGCTTTTCACCACTGAGTATGAGTTAGCTGTGGGCTTGTGATATATGTGGCCTTTATGATGTTGATGTATGTTCCCTTATACCCATTTTGTTGAGAGTTTTTATCATAAATGGATATTCAATTTTCTTAAATGATTTTCTGCATCTATTGAGAGAATCATAATGATTTTTATCCTTTATTTTATTAATGCACTATATCACATTGATTTGTGAATGCTTGAACCATCCTTGCATTCCCTGGGGAAAAAACCCCACTTAATCATGGTGTGTGATCCTTTATTAATATAGGCTGTTGTATTCAGTTTGCTGATATTTTGTTGACTATTTTTGTAACTATGCTCCTCAGGGATACTGACCTGTCATTTTTCTTTTATTGTGGTATCCCTTTCTGGTTTTGGTATCCAGGTAATGCTGGCCTTGTAAAATGAGTTTGGAAACGTTCCTGCCTCCTCAGTTTTTTGAAGTAGTTTGAAAAGGACTGATATTAATTCTTCTTTGAATATTGGATGGAATTCACCAGTGAAGTCATCTTGTCCTGGACTTTTGTTTGTTGGGAAGTTTCTGATTACTGATTCAATCTCCTTTCTAGTAATTAGTCTGTTCAGATTTCTATTTCTTCATGATGCAGTCTGGCAGATCGTGCCCTCCTAGGAATTCATCCATTTCTTCTAGGTTGTCAATTTTGTTGGTGTATAACTGTTCAGTCTCTTATCCTTTGTATTTCTGTGGTATCACTTGTACTGTCTTCTTTTCATTTCTGATTTCGAGGCTTCTTTTTTTGTTGATGAATCTAGATAAAGGTTTCTCAATTTTGCTTCTCTTTTCAAAGAATCAGCTCTTAATTTCATCGATCTTTTCTTTTGGTTAGTCTCTCATTTCTATTCTGATCTTTGTTATTTATTTCCTTCTATCAGCTTTGGGCTTCATTTGTTCTTTTTTTCCTAGTTCCTTGCAATGTAAAGTTAGGTTATTTATTTGAGCTTTCTTCTTCTTAAAGTAGGCATTTATCTTTATGAACTTTCTTTTAGCACTGCTTTTGCTGCATCCTGTAAGTTTTGGTATGTTGTACATATATCCATTTTCATTTGTCTCAAGGTATTTTTTGGTTTCTCTTTGACTTCTTTTTTGACCCATTTGTTCAACAGAATGCTTTTTAATCTTCACATATTGGTAGTTTTTCCAGTTTTCTTCTTGTAATTGATTTGTTTTTATACCTCTGTGGTCAGAAAAGATGCTTAATATGATTTCATTCTTCTTAAACATATTAAGACCTTTTTGTGGCCTAATAAATGATCTATCCTGTGCACATGAGAAGAATGTATATTCTATTTCTTTTGGATAGAATATTCTGTATATGTCTGTTTAGTCCGTCAGGTCTAATGTGTTGTTTAAGGCCAATGTTTCCTTATTTTTTATCTGTATGATCTAACCATTGATGAAAGTGGGATATTAAAGTTTCCTACCATTATTATAGTACTGTCTATTTCTCCCTTTAGATCTCTTAATATTTGCTTTTATGTAATTTAGGTGCATCTAAGAGAATGTTTTTAAGATTTCTGTGTAAGGAGTAATGGGCAAAACTCTGTCATCTTTTCAACAATTTCAGAAGCATTTCTTTTTTTTTTCTTCTTCTTGTTTTATTCCACAGTGAAAGCTGACAGTATGATGTTGTGGTCCAGTTCTACAAACCAAAGCTATTAGGAGGAAGGGATGAAAAGTTAAAAGGTTCAAATCCGTAGTTTTTCAGGAATCTGGCTTAGCCCAAAATAAAGACATTCAAACTCAGAAAAATTCAAACATGTATTTATACCATTCATAATGACTCTATACATCTTCTTCTAAAGAATAATCTTCCTAATAGCAGTGAAAATAGTAACAGCTTTTAGTCTACTGCTTTTTCACTCTAGTTTTTGTGTATCTCCACTGACCAAGAATTATTAAGCCTTCCTTCAATTATATTAGAAAAGCAGTAAATACCATTTTATAAAACTATACATGTATATACCTCTAGGTTCTGATATATATCAACATGGATGGGAATAGGGTATGTCATCACCTGATCACTTTTCATCTCTGTCAACACAAATATACCAGTTAATAATCCCTCTCTCTTTGTCAATAAAATGACTACTAAATGCCAATAAAATGAAGTCTCAATTGCTTCACCCCAAAATTAATAAATGGAACAATAAAGGCCAAAATTATAAGGAAAAAAATTCTAGGCACTACTAGCACCAAATGAAATGATGAGTTTCTAAACATAGCCAGTATAAACAAATGCATGCAGGTTTGTCTAATGTTGACTTTAGCTACAACAAATCCTGAAAACAAAATATTCTAATTTAATGGTAAAGAAAAACAAAGCAATGCTGAGAGAATTTAATATGGGAATTAAATTAAGATCACCAATCGCCTCAAAAAGGAAATCATTTCTTTTTTTAAATTAATTAATTAAGGTCTAAGTAGGCTCCATGCCCAATGTGGGGCTTGAACTCATGACCCTGAGACTGAGTCACATCCTCTA